GTGGGGGACAGTGGGGTGTGAGAAATATGGCTTTTATAGGGTGGCTTTTATGGTGGTTTAAAGGTCAAAGTAATCAAAAATATCCCTTGGCTTGTTGTGCTTGTTATTTCGGTTGTACTAGGGGACAAGGGGGGGACAATGTTTGTGGGATGTTGGGTGATGAAATATGGTTGTTTGGCTTGGTGTGTTTCGGCCCTAGCTTAGGGAAATGAAAAGGAAATTGACTTATGGTTTTTTCTTTTGGCACAAAACGTGTTATTTTGATGGAGTGATTCAAGTAGGGAGTGGGGTAGTCTGGGCAGGGTATACGGCTCTTTTTAGGATGGAGATAGGCTCAAGGTTGTCAGGGTTAAGTAATATGGTTTGGGGTTGGAGAATTCATTCCAGAAAGGATCGTAACACTTAGACATGATTCCACTGATTTGTTTAAGGATTTGAGGATCAGGTGTAGTACTAGGGGATATAACATCCTCCCCTTCTTCAGAAGAGTTTGACCTCAAACTCGGAATTTCTTCAGGATCAAAATATGGACTGAGATCTTTCACGTTAAATGTAGCCGAGACTCCATAATCTCCCGGAAGGTTGATCTTGTAAGCATTCTCATTGATTTTCTCTACCACTTCGAACGGACCATCAGCTCTTGGCATTAACTTGGACTTGCGTTTTGTTGGAAAACGTTCTTTTCTGAGATGAATCCATACTAAATCTCCAGGCTGGAAACTCCTGAGCCTTCTTCCTTTGTTGATGCGTGCACTCACCTTTTCATTCATCGCCTCAATCTTCTCTCGAACCTTTCCGTGTAGTTCTCGAATCTCCTTGGATCGTTTGTCAGCTTCCCAACTATATTGTCCTTTTCCCATGATAGGGTCAAGCTCAAGTGGGGTGAGGGGGTTCGAGCCATACACAACCATAAACGGGGATACTCCAGTTGTTTTGTTTGGGGTCCTGTTGTAAGCGAACTCAGCATGCGGTAAAAGCTCTTCCCATTGCTTGATGTTTTTCTTGATTAGTACCCGAAGAAGGGTTCCAAGCGTCCGGTTTGTAACTTCCGTTTGACCGTCTGAGGATATGGCCTTAGAAACTTTGGGGCTTAAATTGTACTTTATGCTGGCGTGTTTTTAGGCTTAATTTGTAGCTGGTGCATATGTGCTTTGGGTCTAGTTGCTAGTGTTGGTACAAGTTCTTCTCGTGTCTATGTTCTTACTTTGTTCATGCTACGATGCGTACTTGGTCTATGTGTCTGTGTTTCATCCGTGGTAGGGTTAAGATTTGCGTACACTAACCCTCCCAGACCCTAGTTTTTGTCAGATTTTACCCGGTTTGTTGTTGTTGTTGTTGTTGTAGTAGTTCTATGTTATTCTTCTAAACTCACTCCATGCTCTAAACACAGCCTGTTTATTTGTTCCCTTTTGTATAGTGTTCTTTTGTATACTTAGCTTTAAGCGTGAGTACTCCCTACATCCCAAAATAAGGTTCTTGATTCCATTTATGAAGTTTGATTGAATTCATTCTCAATTCAATTTATTTGAAAATTTGTTAGAATTATAAAATGAAATTTATATATTTAGAACTTATATTAAAAGTTCTACAGAATAAGAAGTGGTTTGACTATTTTTTTTATTTTCTCAATGATCAATCACTTTGTGCAAGGAAAGAAGATATTTTTAATTTAACAATGTGAATAGTAAGGTGAAATCTTAGTTTGGGATAGAAAGGAGGTATCCAATTTATTTCATTGTCCAACTATACTAGTTAATAAATTTTTGTTGCAATTTATTTGAAATAAAAACTTGTGCTAACAAATTTGAAAATTTGAAAATTAAGTAAACATAGTTTTTAATGCTCACTAGGATGAATTTAGTGTGAAATATGGTGCCAAAATACTAGAGGTACTCAATGTCCAGAATCAGGGTGAGTTTATAAGAATTTTAAAAAGAAGGGGTGAATTTAGTTATAGTGAATATAGTAAAAAGATAGGTTGGGGCTTTCGTCTATATTTTCTTTTTTGTACATCCCAATTTAGTGTGTTAATTTTCATTTGTAGAAAGTAGTATGTGGTTCACTGTGTTTCTTTCTCCCCTACTCCCTCCACTCTTTATTAACTTTTTGTTTTGCTTCTCGTGCTAAATGTTTGACCGTTGATATTTCTTAAAATATACTCCCTCCGGGCTCCGTCCCACAAAAATCTTCCTACTTTCCCTTTTTGAATGTCCCAAAGAAAACATCCCACTTTATTTCCTTTTCAAGAAATGAACATGTGGCTCACAAAAATTCTCCTCGTCAAAAATGAACATGGGACGAAGGGAGTATTAGTTAAATATATACAAAAATATTATATACAACTATTTTTCATTACAATTATTACAGTATAATTTTATATCTTAATTAGTTGTATGTTTTTGTATATATTTAGTCAAATTTCGGCACCGAAAACTAAAATATACAGCTGTAAGAGAATGGAGACGGTTCCTAATCACACAGTTTTCACTTAAGTAGTTTTCGTGTCCGGTATAATTGGGTACAACAACTTGGATCAGAGTGAGAATTAATTTTTTTGATGCTTGTTACTGCCACTCATATTTTCTCTTCATAGGCTCAACTTTTTTTGGCTAGGGTTAGTTATGAGGTGTATTTGAGAAATCATAATTCTTCTAGCAATGCAGAAGGATGAAGACTGCTTTACTGATAATTATGGTGGTGTTAGGGAGTTAGACTCCTAGGAAAGATGTTGGTGTTACATGGACAGTTTGGGGGTGGAGTATTAATAAATGAATTAAGAAGAAGCAGGGTTTAAGCTACTTCTCTAGTATTGAATATTCAAATTTTGAAGGATAAATTTTTTATACTTTTCAAATACACCTAGTAAACTGATCATGGATAAAACTTCTTCCCTTAGAGAGTATTACCCCTGTAAAATCATTTCTGAACACCCTCTATCTATTTTTGTTTTTTTGAATGGTCAAGTTAAACTTTTGCAGGATCCTCATGTCCAAGTGATGCTGCATGCTTATGTTCCTTCCATTTCGAATCACTCCTCTGGTAAGTGCTATAAGAACATTGCTACTATATGCGTCCATAAGTAAAATTAACCATCATTGTACTACTATGCCCATCTTTACCTGTTACTATCAAATAAATAATACTCAGTATTATAAGTGGTCATTGTGGGCGAGAGTTGTCTAAGTACTTAGCCCTTCACATTTTTTCTTTCTGCAGCGCTTTCTAGTTCTGGTGTCATTGAGAAATCAATGAAACTGTTACCTGCTCTTGTTAGTTGTTTCCAGGACTTCATTCCTTTGGTTCATACTATGCCTCAAATAGACACCCGATCCTATGATTGTCTGCTCCTTATACTTCAAAACATAGACCTTCTGGTCAGATTTTTTATTGAAGTCTCTGATAAGAAGAGTCAACAAGGCTTAAGAAGAGAACCTCCTAACTGTCACACACAGGATAACATATGTGGTCAAAGTATTTCTCCGGTGGTTCTTAAAAAGCTTTGGGACGAGTTTCCTTTGAGTACAGGTCATGGCCTCTTAGAGAAGGTATGAATTCTTATCTGAGACTAGCTGTTTCAGTGCTAGAGTAAGGCATCAATGAAGGGTAAAAAAGAAAAAATATTAAGAGGCTAAAACTAATTTCTTAGAGAACCTGGCAAGTATGGAGTATATTTTTGAGTAATTTATTGGTGGACTTGAAATGCAAGAAGTTGCTACTGTGTTTTGTCCATAACTTGTTCTCATTAATAACATTAGCCTATCAGGTTAGGACAATGGTTCTATGAGGTAATGATGTAATGCACTTGATAATTCTCTGTGATCTATCAACATAATAGGATGTCTCTGCTTCTCTTTCAAACACACTTATCTTTAAAGGAAAATAAGTTAGAAATACAATCACAACATCTGAAGTGATGATATTTTTAAGCATTCCAGTTAATTCCCCCTCTCTTCGTGTTCACTTATATGGCAACATACTGCCGTTGCCTCCTCTGATTTTGTTTACTCTTTCAATGCAGGGAAATGATCGTTATTTCAGGTTGAATATTGTTATTACGGAAATATTTTTGAAGTTAAGCAGTTGGAATCGCCCTCCCCCTGCGCTGATGGAGAAATTTCTGGAGTTCATTGAAAGCTCACTTTTTGGGAAGGTTCAATTATACTTTGGATTTCATGATAAAGTTCATTCATGTGCCAAGTCCTAACTCTTCATGGATATGCATATTGTTTATCTGTAATTTGTTCACATCAAAGAACTGGTGAAATTCACATCTCATTTTCTGGCCTCACAAATAGAACCATGTATCGGATTAGCATCATCCTTGTAGAATTTGTTTCATGCATAACTTATATCCTGAACCTACATATTATGTATTTTAAATAACAGGAGACAAAAGGACTTATATCAATTTTATGAAAAAGGATAAAGGCACATATTTTTCCCTTCAATGATTTAGTTCTATTATATAACTGAAAGCTTTACATGTTCCTCAGTCCTTTGTTTCTCATCTTTTAGTTGGTATTCGTAATGTTCTTTGTGAACTTTCTTTATAAGCTGAATATGGATCATGGATGTTTAAGTAGTATACATATTGCACATTTAATAACTACTAGCTCTTGTTTTGCAGAATTTCCACCGCAAAGAGTCTGGTAAAGTAACTCATGAAAAGCAATTGCTTACATTAGTGTCATTCACTCCCGAACTTGTTACAGGATTGTCTGGTGTTTGGAAGTCTCGCATTCTTCAGGTTTGAAGATTAAACTAATGACTTACTTCTGTATGTACATTTTACATGTTTCCAAAGAGTGAAAATCAAGTAGCAGAAGGATGGAGGAGTAAACCATTTTATTGTTTTAGACATTGATGTTAGATATCCTAAAGTATATGCCTTTGCTATGGTATTACAGAATGTTGCACCCCCAAATAAGTAAATAAATAAAGTTTTGATTTGTACTGGCATTTACAGGCTTTTACCAAGATCTTCAAGAACTGCAGTCCAGAGTCTTCATTGAAGTTGGCCTGCCTTTCTGCAATTGAAGAAATGATGTTCTCTGTAAGATTCACTTTGGTCTTGACATCATTAAGAAATATTAAAAAATTGGAAGTAGGAACATGCGAGAGTTGTGATACAATGCTTTCCATTCAATTATCATATTCCGCAGACAGATGCTGGATGGCCGCAATGCTTATCTGTTCCTTTTTTTCACTTTCCTTTTCTTTGGGGTTTGCAGTTACATTTTTTAATCGAGAATCTGGAATCATATTTAGTAAATTTGCAACTAATAATGTTTTTACCCTATATAAACTAACCCCCATTTTCTTGTGTGGATTACAGGACAAGTGTTGTCCTTTCTTGGGCACAACTCATACAAGCCATCCTGAGATGCTAGATCATCAGATTATTTGGATAAGGGAGCTTCCTTCACTGCTTATTGTTTTAGGTGATAAACATCCAGTAACTTCTAAGGTACATACTTAGTATTTGATTTACTGCCATCAGTTTTGGTTGCCTGGCTAATTTCAAAGAGTCACTCTATCATCGCTAATTTCCCACTAGTCTTGGATCCAATCTTTTGCATCACTTTTTAAAGATGACAGAAAACCACCCTTAATGATATGTCTTGCATTGTCCAGACTGTGTTACGTCTTCAACTTCGCTTAGGACAAACTGCTCATCTGGACTCTCCATTTGCAAAGGAATATGATGATATGCAGGACATACTCAGAAATTTTTATAGCACAGCCACTGATGAAGGTTAATACAGCAGCTAATTCAGATTTCTACCCATGGTGATCTTTATTTATTCTTCATTGAGTATCAGTTGCTTCCAACTAACAGTATTTGTCTGATCATAGGTGTGACATATGGTCCTTTCATGATGCTTTCAAAAGATATTCAAGAACTCTCCCTCTGTTGCATATATTACTTCTCTTCCCTGGACTCGGCGATACTTCAATCATTAGTTCTATGTTGCCTTTGTAAGTAGTTTTCTGCAGCTAGGGAAGAGTTTTATTAACACACATGGAAGAAAAGATAACATTGGAATGATGAGCTAAATATTGTTTAACATTGTGGTTTTGGGTGGACATAATGCAGCTCATGAACTGGAACCGTGTTTACGTTTTCGCATTTTGGAAGTTGTCCACACTGCTTATAAAGCTGGACACATCCAGATTGGAGATTACATTAGTTTTTTAATCACATTGGTTTCACGATTCAATGATTATCCTGGTAATCTCTGAAATATGTTATCAAAGTTTAGGCATTATATTTGTCTTGTAATGAAATCAATGACCTGGATATTGATTGAACCTAGTAATTGGATCATTTGCAGTGAACATCGATACTCCAGAAAAGTGTCAGGGAAAATCATTCCACAGAGCTTTTCAACCGATTATTAGTGCAGTTACCTCTTGTTTGTCACGTATTGGTGATAACCATCTTATTTTCCAGATGCTGGAGAGAGTAATTATTGATCAAATTGTAAGTTGATTAACCATCTGCTTAGATTCTTTAATCTTACCTAATCTTATTATTCGTAGACTCGCCTTTTATGGGTGAACTTTTCATATCATCAGAATAAGTGTCTAGTTTGCTTTGTATATCAAGTTTTATTGTATATAAATGTCTTGCAATTTGTTTCAGTGTCTTAGCCCTCCAATAGGTAAAATGAATGCCCTTCTAAGGGTTCTTAGTGCAATTGATACTGTTCCAACAAGACTTTCAGGAGAGAGCATTGGCAAAATAAGCCGCGTTCTTCCGAACTATTTATTACTTGTTGCATCTGTAAGTATGTTTGATATATCTACTTCCAATTTTCATCCTTTTTGGCCATACATGACAATGAGCTTCATCTTGAGAAAAAAAGAGCCTGTATCTGGCCTGTTTTGTTCCATAAATGTTATCTAATAACTCCCTCTATCTGGTTTTAGTTTTCCACTTGTTTTCGTTTGTCCATTATTAGTTGTCCACTTTCTATATTCAATCAAAAAACCCCTTTATTATGAAATGTCCAAAATATCCTATAAAGAAAGCATGAGGGGTTCTTGACATGAACGAGTGAGAAACTCATTAGAAGGACTTTTTTGACATTTAAACTCATTTTTTAAACCCGAGATTTCTTGGAAGGTGGAAAAACTAAATTTGGATGGCAGGGGCATTATTATTTAGTTTTTTTTAAAGAAAATATATAATACCAAGGCCTGCCATGTAGGATTTTCTGGGAGAAGTTAACGAGCAGCAGAATTCCATGACTACGAGCATATCAAAGAGAAGTCAATACCATCTTCTTCCTTGCTTCATTCTATTTCACAGCTGCAATGGACTGTTGAGTGAAGTTTTAAAAGGGATGAGATCGGTGTTGTCGGAGAACAGTTCCCAGGCTTTGTCCCAACAACAAACCGAATCCGTCCCACCAAAAAACAGTCTTGTGGCAACTGTGGTGTGCGTTTTTCTGATTTTGATCGCCGATGTTAAAATGAAGAGACTTCTCTCGTCGTGCAAGGCAGAAACAGAGAGCATATTACAATGTATAGCCACTTGCTTGTCTTCAGAAGGGAGTAATATGGGCCTGGAACAAAGGCACCAGATACAAAGAGCTTATGATAGCTTAAAAGCTGCCACTGCTGTTATTCCAGCTTGAATGGGACAGGTCCTGCTTTTTACATTGTTAACCTACCATTCTGTTCTTTTACACCCTCCTCCCCTCTGCCAAAAATATATATTGTTCGAATGTTCACGGAGTTCAAGAAAAGTGATGAATTGTGAAAATTTTGCGGTTAGAATCTGTTTAAAGCAGAGAGAGGTTATGTGAAGTAATTTATCTTTTCGTTTAGATGGATGAATAAGAAAATACTGAAGTTTTTTTGTGGGGCGGGAGTAATAGATTGTTTGTATCCTTATGCTCCATCTCTAGTACTCTCTAGTAGCATAAATTTACCCTTACCTTCACTTGTAAACGGATCTGAATCTAAGTGAATAATACTTCCCCCGTCCCATAAATTGGTCAAACAGTTACACACTTTGACCATAAATTAAAAATAATCTAAATAAAAAAATGCTAAAAAAATTTGAGATTTCAAAACTAGATCCTAAGATGAATCCAATTATATTAAATTTATTTTATAATTCAATATACCTTTTTCACAATTTGTAGTTAAAGTGTGGAAATGTTTGACTAAATACTATTCAAAATGAGAATTTTTTTGTGGGACGGAGGGAGTAATAGTAATACTCTTATATCACTCTCTCTCACTCTTTATTACTTTTATGCACTTTGCTTACTCGTCTATATCCGATCTCTGGGTCTAAATGCACTTTGGGGTTTCAACTGTTGCAAAAGTCAACTATGGGAAGAGATCTAATTTCAATTTGATCTTCATACGGAGTGTACTATTTTATTTTAGACCGATTGAACTAAGTCAATGACCCGGTCAAGAATCGGCAATGATCGGAACTCCGTTTGTTCTATAAAATTGTTGGCGCTTTTAGTTAAGAAAGTTATTGAAAAATAAAAGGCGTGTAGTTATAATCAGCTTTGAGGAGAGTAAATTTTTTTCGTAATCATATCAAAATAAGGAATAAAGGTTAAGAAATTTTATGGGATGGAGGGAGTATTAGCTAATGTGTAAGTACTATATATATATGTTCTTTATTAAAAAGAAAGGAAAGAAGTCAAGGTCTGAAATATCCATTTATTATTAAATGGGGTATATTTAGCTAAATGAGATGTGGATTTAGCCTCACCCATTAAATTACACTTGGTAAATATTGCTTGATTTTTGAAGACGACTTTCATGATCTCCAATATAATACTTTAAATGTTATTATCCATTACCTTTGTCCCAATTTAAATTTTAAATTTTGATTTACGATGTCAAACTAAAATTATTTTTAATTCAACTTACATAAGAATTACGGTAGAATAAAAAAATAATTTTACATAATGAAAACTTACATTAAAAGTTATACAAAGCAATGTGGCATGACTATTTTTTATGAATAACAAAAAGTGAATAAATTTAACATGTAAATAGTAAATTAAACTTTGTTTATAACCATGATCAAAAACCATGACCAGGCTGGGTTGACCTGGATAGGCTCGTTCACTAGCTTTGCCAATTATGATCAGGTTTTGGCCATTTTTGGTTTGTATATTGGACCGGACTGGAACCATGACCAGGTCACGATCCAATTGTGTCGAACCAACTAATTTGGTCCGGGTTTTAAAACATTGATCCTGAGTTCATGACAACCAAGAAATTTTAGATTTTGTTATTTGTGTCAAAGGGTGACATGGGTGCTGATGAAAAGTTGACCAAAAATAATAATTATTAATAGGGTTAGGAATCCAGTAGTTAAGAAATTGTCAAACCAAACAATGACAAAAAAACTTCTCCATCAAATAACTTCTTTCATCATTTTTCCATAATAATACTTCAAAATCTGGACCATTATTGTGTGGATTGAGTACAATGTACACACATTTATAGCTCTAAAATTTGGGTGGAGCCTTATGAGGACTTTTTTATCATTCCAAAATTGTAGGCAAAAAATAAGGGCAAAATTCTTGACCCGTTGGACCGTGAACTGGCCATGGTTCCGGTCCGGTCCAATGTAGTCATACCCGGATTGGCCAAAACCCGGTCAAAACTAGAAGAACCGATGAACGGACCAACGTCGGTCACCCGCTTTAAACAAAATTTGATTCAGATTGGTTGGTTTCCTTGACCAGATCAAAACCCTGAGGCTCAAAAGGGTCATTGATGAGGGCCTATCTCATGCGCACACAAATATGTTAAAAGCAACAGGTCTCTTCACACACAAAGTATGAACCAAATGTTTGGTCAAAAGTCAAACTAGGGGCGTTTTGGTCATTTCGGTACAAATCAATGGGTGGTGGGATTAGAGAGATTATTTAGAGAGAGCCTCAGATTTTCTCAGAAAGAAGCAATAATCTCTTCTTTTTGAAACAGTCAGCATCAAACCAACTCCCTCCCCCCTTTAAAAAAAGGCCAAGTCCAGAAACAAGAATCTCAACAATGGAAGATACTGACCGAATTTCATCACCACCACCACCACCATCATCATCCAACTCTGAGCTTTCGTACCCGCCATGGCTGCGAGATCCTCTCCATCGACGAACATTTACCATCTTTTCTCATTGATCGATGCCATTCTTTAATCAGTACCCTGGTGTTTTTCAGACTTTCTATCTGTTTCCACTGCTTACTGTCCTATGTTGCAGAGATTCTTCAAATAAGTGCATTTCTCGTGCCCGTTTGGGTGCCTGGGGATGTTCTTGACACAAAATTCTTTGTAAAATTTGAAAAAGATGGTGTTTCCCCATTCCCAACCTTGTCTCTGTGCAACTTAGGGCACATCCATTAATCCTCAACGCCGATCCTCCTCCAAGTAGGCCCTGAAGCCCTGCAAGACGAGTTGTCGGGGTTTGGAGGGAAGATGGAAGAGGGGGTGATTGTTGATGAGGAAGGACTAGATGTTATTTATTGGAGAATTTTGGAAAATGGATATGCCGCCAGAGAGAGTTTGGAAGCACGAGCTTTCAGCAACGGCAGTGATGATAGACAACAAGGCCAGGCATCATCCCCTGCCTGGCCCAATGCACAAAACCAGCCGCTGACTTGGCCTCCTCCACCACCAGAACTTGCAGAAAAGAAGAGTCTTCCACCACCCCAACCACCGAATCCTGGCGGTTTGGTTGAGTCATTAACAAGTCAAAATCCAGGAAATGGAAAACATGTGAGCTTGGAGCCTTTGCGTTGTGGTAAAGCTGTTGCTAATGCGAATCATTCCATGACCCGGAACAAAACTGATGATGGATCCTTCAGCTTCAAGTGAGTATTTTTTCGCACTGTCTTTGTCTTTTGTTCACTAAAGGTGAAATCTTTATAATCCCTTACCATATACTTTGCGATTCAGCTTTGACGGTGATCTTATGGAAGCACTCTTTGGATATGTTGCTACAAACCGAAAATCACCGAAAGGGGAGAGAAAAACAGGCCCAATCCCTCAGATTTTCATTCTTGAAACACAGAAATCGCAGGATATAGCAATTGTTCTCAAGTCCCTTAGGATTACCCGCAGAGAGATTATTGACGCGCTGAATGAAGGAGAAGGCCTTAATGCAGAAACTCTGGAGAAGCTCTGCAGAGTGGCTCCAACTAGAGAAGAAGAATCAGAAATCCTTGGTTTTGCAGGAGACCCAACAAGACTAGCTGATGCTGAATCCTTCCTCTTCCATATCCTCAAATCCATTCCATCTGCCTTCTCTCGTTTCAATGCAATGCTTTTCAGATCAAACTACACCCCAGAGATAGGCCAACTTAACGAGTCTTTACTGACACTGGAACAGGCTTGCAATGAGCTTAGAGGTCAACGACTTCTCATGAAACTGGCAGATGCCGTTTTGAAAGCAGGGAACAGAATGAATGAGGGCACTTCAAGAGGAGATGCACAAGCTTTTGGCCTAACAGCTCTCACGAAGCTTTCTGATGTGAAGAGTATTGATGGGAAGACTACATTGCTTCACTTTGTCGTCCATGAAGTGGTGAGAGCAGAGGGAAAACGATGTGTTTCCAACCGTGATCTCAATTTAAGTAAAAATGACAGCCAAACCAGCAGTACTGCATGTTCGCATTATGACAAAGAGAAGGATTACATCATGCTTGGTTTACCTGTAGTTGGCGGCCTAAGCTCTGAGTTCACCAATGCCAAAAAGGCTGCCATGATAGACTGTGATGCTCTTTCTACAACATGTTCGATACTATCGTCTCAAGCATCTGAAATCAGGAAATTTGTAGCACAATGTACTGCCGCTGGTGGAGGACGGTTTGCAACAAAAATGAAAGTTTTTCTAGATATTGCTGAACGGGAGATAAAGGCAGCAAAGGTAGAACATACAAGAGTCATGGAGCTTGTGAAGAGGACAGCAGATTACTATCAAGCAGGAGCTTCAAACAGTAGATCATGGCAGCCACTTCAGCTATTTGTTATAACCATGGATTTTCTTGGACTGGTTGATCGTGTTTGTGTTGAGATTGCAAGCAACCTGCAGAATAAAAAACTAGAAGGTCCTACTGCTGGATCATCATCATTAACAGAAGAACCACAGAGGAGAGCGGTCAGGTTTCCCAAAATCCCAGCTAATTTCTTGTCACAGCAGGGAAAGAGCAATCCATCTGGATTTAGTAATTACACGTAAATAGATAGGCAGATTAGAGAATTGAGTCTAAAAATATTTGTTTTGTTAACCAATACGTAATGAACATTCCCTTTATTATATCTTCCCCAATTTGTTTCACAATTCTACAGAGATCTATTCCATTCCCGAAAATGGGCTCGTCTTGTAAGTCACTACTACATTTATACAACAAATTTTTGCAACTGAAGATTTCCCATATACTTCACGATCTTCCACCCACTTTCCACATGGCATATGTTTAATGGTTTCATCTTCTTTTGCATAGACTTGTCTATGGACAAGATTATGCGCTTTTGATGCTAGGGAAATGACGAAAACGACAAACTCCACCCTACTAGACCTGTTTACGCTTAGCAAGACATTGCTTCTCTTCTTCAACCTGTTCAACTAATGCTTGTAGCTCTGCTTCCGTTAAGCTTTCTAATCGTTTCTGTTAAAGTAGAGGGTAAAGAAATTCATGAACTGATAAATGCTTGCATTAAAGTTTTCCCTGAACAATAGAAGACAACATGACGAAGAAACAAATCATTACGAATTATATTATTATTATTTGAAAGGATTATAGCTCAATGCATGTGCTCTTGTGGCATCTTAATTGCAGAGGATTTATATTCTAATATTATGTTACAGAGTACTCCCTCCGTCCCTAAATAAAGTTCCATTTTTGACTTTTTGAGAATTTAAGGGAGGGATATTTTTGTGTTGACTTTCCAAAAATACCCTTGATGTGATGTGTAAAAGTAAGATGTGATAGGTAAATTATTAGTAAAAAGGTATGATGTGATAGGTAGGGTATGAAAAAGTAAGGGGTAAAAGGGGTTTTTTAAGGGAAAAGAGAAGTTTATTTAGGGACAAAGAAAAAACGAAAGAGGAACTTTATTTAGGGACGGAGGGAGTATTATTTAATACAAACATACCTCCATGACTTTGCATTCATAGTCTCTTAATTGTTGAGCATAGGTCATTTGCTTGTTTGAAACCCTGAAGATGTACGTTGAGATCCATCCAACTGTTAGACCCAAGCCCATGACCAGTTGAACTGCATTTCCAGCTTGTAGAGAATCAACACCAAATAACTGCACAAGTTGTAGACTTGTAGTGTAAAAGAGCCTATAATTATCTCAGATTCAGTTTTGTATTTAAAGTACGACACACTGTTGTAGTGAATCTTGAAGAAACAAACACATCAAATAGGCGATGATTAAAAGAAACGAGTAAAAAGTTATCTATAAGTGAAAACAAAAATCGTAGTACCTCCAATCCACTTTTTAGGCCAAAGCCAACAACTGCGAGTCCAATTCCAATTAATATAACATCCTTTCTGGTGTATCCAAAAGGTATCTGCACTATGATCATATTGCTGACATAACAACGAACACATAGTGGTAGAGCAAGAAGCTAAATAGCTACTGAATATAGAAGCTGTAAGTATATCTAATACAAACAACAACAATCTAGTAAGGTCCACCAAGTGGGCTCTAGGGTGGGTGGTTATAAGCAGATCTTGACCTTACCTATACATGTAGGATTAGTTGTTTCCGAAAGACCTTTGCTTGTAAGTAAATCTTATGATCTTAATAATCAGCAATAAGATAACAAAAGCTCCACTATGATCAATGAAGACAGACTGCATTTTCTTCCTCCCAAGCAACAACAACAAACAACAACATTACCCCAATGCCTCAATGGCTCCCGCCCATTGCGGCGTAAGGGGGGTCGGATGTACGCAGTCTGACCCCTATGTTTAAAACATAGAGCGGCTGTTTCCAGATGACCAATGATGAACGTCGAAAGTTGAATCGACCAACTGCTACTTCACAATTACAAGAAGTGCAAACAGTTTAGAGAGCCAATTTGCTTTACTCCATCATACCCCAAACCAAAAAATAGTGAATCTTTGGCTCCACAGGGGAATGGAAATAATTCTTGCTCCCATGCATTTAAGAAAAAAAAATCATCTACTACAATTTCCCTAGGCACTACAAAAATCTATTAATTCTTAAATTTGAAACAGTACAGAACAGTTTCAAAGTAAATAGGACAATTTGACACACTTCATCATCAGCCAAATATAGAAACTACACAAGAGTTTATACGAAAAATAAAAAGGAAGAGAGAAAATTTCATGTTCAAGTAATGGCAATAAGAGTTTATGATGTGTGTGTAAGGGGTGGGGCCCGGAGTAGGCTCCCAGGCACACCGCACTCATGAAAAGGGAAATTTGCTGGTGCCAAACTTGCCTTATCTTCATTAGAGGATCTATCCTTGTTGTCATTTGAGTTTGAACTGCACTGTGGAACTAGTATATTTGATTTCTTTGAGGCCAAATAGGATCTACTTATAAGATCTGTGGAAGTTATAGCTCTAAGATATCTGTGAGTGATGCCATTTCCTGTAAGGTGATAACAGGAAACTGTAAATAATGTTGTCTTGATCAAAGCTATTGCAAGAGTAATATCCAATATTCCAATCACAGCTTCATTGCTTTGCAGAGCTTGGTTATCAAATTCAAGTGTGAGACAGACTGTGAAACTAATGACTAAATGAGTAGCAAGGCAATCCGTTTGGCATGTGATAATATATTCTAAAGACCTGTTATCTTCACCTGAAAAAAAACGCGATCCAACCTGAACTACAAAAAACTAGTTGGTTTTAGCCTAGTCCAGAAATTTCTAGTATCTTGTCTAATTTCCTCGCCTGAAAATCTCTCATTGGTTTAATTAGAATGTTCCTAGTCAGGTATGATTAAGAAAAGAATTCATAAATAGGAAAAGAAGAATAAGGTGAACCAAACAACACAGAATCACTATTCTCACCAATGGGATAAATCATTTGATCCAAATTTTAACTAATATGTAATTTTTAATTAAAATTTCCACGCATCCGGACACTAAAAAACCAAAGTAGACAAACAAATAGGGACTAGATAAGTAAGTTGCAATCGATTTTCAAAACAATACAACTTTCCACCAACAATTTAATATAGTACGACAACAACAACAAAACCAATACATTCCCAACTCTGTTGGGTTTGGACTTTGGGGATATATCATGATTTACACAAAATTAGAGTTATTCTTGTAAAACACTGATAAAGAAGTTTAACACTATGTTTGGTTCAAGGAATTTAAAATGGAGAAGAAAAGAAAACGAGAGGGAAATAAATTTACATGTTTGGTTAGAGAGGAAACGAAAAGAAAAGCGGAAGGAAAAAAACAAGAAGGCAAAATGTACTATAAATGAAGGGAAAACCATATTCCTCTCATTTTGACGAGGAAAATGAGAGAAAATCATTTTCTCTTCTGTTCATTCCAAATTCTTTGAACCAAACATAGTGCAAAGTGTTTCTGTTATAGGCTTGATGCATTTCTGCATTCACGCCCAAAACTTCAAAGAAATCAAGAATTGAGGGAAGTATAATGTGTAGCATTGATTTAGTCCTTTATCTACCAAAACAGAAGACAAAAACATAATCCAAAATCACTCCATTTGCAAAGTAAGCAATTAGATACAGTATATCCCGTGATTATGAAAAGGAAACACAACCCATGTATGATCAGTAATTCTAAAAAAAGGAACGAAATTAAAAGCTTATCACACACACAGAGATACAAACAGAAATGGGTTAAAAATGAGCTGGGGAAACACAGGGAGATAGAGACCTGGTTTCGTTGTTGTCTCCTTCAGAGGAAAAGCGGGTCGACCCGTCAAGGAAATCACTCTGGTTTTGCTTATTAGGCTTCTGCCATGGGCGCCTGCGGACGAAGGGAAGGAAGCCATTTCTCCTTGTGTGGCTGGCTGGAAGCCGTTATCCTGAAGACCCAGAAATATCCTTCGGTCCGGACTGTGTAAATTGGGTTGGGCATGAAAAAAAATTTGAAATTATATGGTTGAAAGGAAGAAAAAATTACAAACGTCATAATTTTCTTTTTCAAAAGTGGAGATTAAAACTTTTTTTAGAATGAATGAAAAAGAAAATATGGAATATTTTTATAAAACAAGATGGAATGTATCCGTCCATTCTAATAATTTTTTGTTACTCCACTATTTTTGTATCATACAGAATATTATAAGATGTATTTGGTACTAATAATTTTTATTCTATTTTATCATTTGCGGTAAATCTTCATATATTTGGATGTAATTTGAGAAATTGGATTAGTGTTATTGTTTTTAGCACTTGATCAAAATGAGATGGTGTGTATTGGTTCAAATCCGGATCGAAGCAAATGAAGAAGAATAAGGATGACTTCTCGAACTAGAAACGAGACCATATAAGCCTTTAACTTGATCAAAACGAGATGGTGAAACTCGAAGCAGATCGTAAGGGCTGTTTTGTATTTATTTAAATTTTTTTTGTTTATTTCATAACCACTCTCATTAAAAGAGCCATATTTCATAAGTGTGCAATTTTTAAATTTTAATATTTTGTAATATATAACCAATAACTTCATGGACCATCTGGAATTAGCCAATCTATGTTTTAGACATAGGGGTCAGGTTGCATACATTCAGTCCCGCCTTACTCCTTAATAGACGGGACAATTGAGGCACTGAAGTAATGTTGATGTGATATTCCAGTACATCTGCTCACAATTGTATTGAAATATGAAAAGAATAGCATTGAGGTTGAATTAAAGCTAAAGCTTACAAAATGGTATGAAAGCTCACGACCCGTTTCACTCCGTATGAGTTTTAAATGTATGATAAGATATGGCTTTTGTAAGGTAACATCCCTTGTATATCTCAAGAAATTTCTAATTCTATATCTCAAGAAGTGATTATCTTATTTGGGAGTGTTAGGGCTTTGAATATTTAATTCAATGTGTAATATCTTAATTTAATTTTAGACTTTAAACCACACGTTAATATAAAAGTACAGTATGTAATATCATACAAGAACACATGAATAACTATGCCTTGGAACGAACAAAGAAATGAAAAAAAAACATTCTTAGGCACAAAACAGACACTCTTCAATAGAATGGTTCTTTATTAGATCAAATGCTACTTTGATCAAAGGCCATGATTTATACCAACTGGAAATGAGTAAGCATCCTCAGAAACTTTCTAGCAAAACTGCTCCATTGTGCATTGAGAATCATTATTTATTCATTCAAAATAATTACACTATCAAAAACCGCGTCACAAGAGATCTAACCATTCGCCTCACGCACATGGAAAGATTTAGTATGTTTTTTATGTTCTAAATCTCTCTCATGTGTGTGTGTGTGTATTAAATCGGCGGAGGCCAATAAGGGTGTCGCCAAATGCTTTTGACTCAGGGGAGTGTTGCTCTCACCTCTTTCCTGTCTGCTCCAAATGCCTGTCAATATATATGGAGGGAATAGTTTTTAAACTCATTCATTGACCAATGAGAATTGCAATCGTTTGAGCTTTAATCAAAATGTATCTTAAGTTCTTAAAAGCAACGTGCATTCGCCATGTGTAAAATATATTTGGATATTTGTGCATGTCATTAAAGTGACGTATAAGGACGCGAAAGAGGTGTTATCATGACAATTCAAACACAAGTGCTGACCTTGGTGCTGTTGTGAGCAAATTATAAAATCTGAAAACAATACTCTATGAGTAGGGTTGAGAAGTAGTGCTAATCGTAACGTCTAAAAGGCCTTGTTTGACTGGGGAGGACTATAGCACAAGGAGGGAAGGGGGGGGGGNCCCATTTCGGTGTATTTTTATATATATTTTTTCTTAATTTTCTTTTCACCTTCTTAACTCTTTCATTTCCCCTCCATTCCCTCCCCTTCCCCCGAGTTCTCCTCCTCGTCCTGTTTTGAACCAAACAAGGGCCAGGGGCTAAACATCAATGCATACCTCAGTTCCGAAACCTTTCACATATACATTCGTAAAGAGTTCAGAAGCATCTGGCATGGGGCTCTCCTGCAAAGATAAAATGAACAATTAGCATTGCTATGCAAAACTAGCTTGTGTGGAACAAAAATACAGAAAGGTAATTTCAGAATGTGCTTCACCTTAGCCTTTGTTATGGCTTCATCTACCTCTTTCCTCACTTCTTTCTCAATATCCTAATGGAGAATAGCAGAAGACGTAAGTAGCACATCATTATCATAAATAAAGTAATCAGGGATCACAATCAAGTAGTTGAAAATGTAATCAAACATGTTTGCAAAAATATCATCCAAGGGGTTCATGTTTAATTAGTTACAATCATTACCTTCAGCTCTTTTTCAGTTGCTAAATCATGAGATAATATTAACTTTCTGACTCTTTCGACCGGATCACGTTCCTGAAAAGTAGAAACATCTCAAAGTAAATAGGAGTATGATCAAAGCGGCATTATTTCTAGCACGCTATAAGATTTTGTTTACCTGTCTAACTCCACTGATCTCATCCCTTGTACGATAGGTGCTTCCAGGATCAGACATAGAGTGCCCATGATACCTATAGGTGTCCATTTCAAGAATCTGACCAAAATCAAACAATGGATGTGCATCAAAATGTGCAAATACCAACAGCAATGTAAAAAGGCAACACATTATCACCAAACGTGCCAGCGACTATAGTTTAAAGAACAGTCTAAAGCATCTTTACTCCACAGTACACTTAAAATCATTCCATTCCATGCCGTTATATGGAGTATTATGCATACGATCTCTCTCTACGGGCTGTCTACCTCACAGAGATCTTAACCACATTATTAAAAAAAATATGGAGTTCAGTATTCATATTCACAACAACTAAATTCAGGATTTGTATGAATTCAGAATATATCGTATAGCTAGCCAGTATGGCACTCAACACTCCATCAGAAGTGCTTTTTTCCCACTATTAAGAGCTTCTTGGGCCCATATTGCTGATCCATGGAATAAAAGCTTTAGTTGAATAATTAATTTAAAAAGAAGGATCAACTTGGAACTTTGTGAGAAAGAAGACTTTTCTTTATGCTGCGTATTTTTTATCTGCCCATAAAAGCATTTTTATGCTTTAGGTGTTTTTTTGTTCAACTTATTCATCTTGCTAATTAACATATTTTTATTTTATTCCAGAAACATTTAGAGCACACTCGATCAGACCTGAGATGCCATGAAAATCAGACAAGAATCAAAATATTGTAAACATTGAGATCTGACCAGAAACATAAACATTCAGGCATCAAGAAAATTAGACTAGATTTGGAAACATTGAGATCTGAACGGAAACATAAACATTCAAACATTGAGATCTGAACGGAAACAAAATGAAACAAAACAACTGAAACATAAACTTTCAGACCAACCACCAGCCAGACCACATCTTAAAAAATCAAAAACAAATTGGACCTTTTTAGGCGAAGCAAACAAGGGCACTAAATGTGACCTGCCATGAACTAATTTCAGGAACAGCAAACAAGAATACTGTAAAACAATAACCCAATTTTATGATACACAATACTCAAAAGTACTGTCAATTTCTATTAAGTGTAATACAATATAAAATACTGGGCTAAATAAGCATTCACATTTATGATCCCATCCGATACACAAACACACTATCCATTACTATTCTTTGTAATGCAATAGCGCAATTTAGCCTAATTTATAAAAAGGGTGTGCTGTAAACAAAGGATGCGCTGTTAAATCCTCCAAACTGAACTGGTCTAGAAAACCAGATGAGACTGACATTTAAATCCTTGAGACTGATAAACTACAAAACTATCATCCCCACAGAAAACACTAGTAAAACCAATTAGATTCTTCTTTCCAGTATCAACATATCCATTTGTTCTGCTAACATACATGTAAAGTGTAGCAGAATCAGCATTATTCTCTGCACCTTATTTCCAACTAAGTTGGGTAGGTAAATAACAATTTAGTGTCAATGAAATGTTGTTGATTCAGGAACTAAAAACCAATTATATATGGAGTATTTATAAATATATGCACATGAATCTTCAATCTTCTAATTCCTTATAGAAGAAAACAAGACCCCTCTATACACTCCCATTTCCAGTTCTTCTCCTAAATAAAAACTTCAAACCTGACACTCACATTCCTGCTTGGACAAGAGTAGTGATGATAAACTGTATATAATGATGAAAGAAAGTCAACTGATCAAACCAGTAATTTAACTCTACCAATGAAAGGAATAAAAAGTGCATTTTTTCTTCCATAAAATATTTACATGGTTTGAACTGCAATACCAAACAGGCAGAAAAATAATGAAGCAAAACCCTATCATGTTGTAGGCAATAACAACCTTTTCCACATCAGTTTACCAGTTACTCATTAACAGCATGTCACTATCAAAGAAGATAATCATAAAAATAGTTATAATATCTACAAGATGTTTCTCCTTTAAATACTTTGGAGTTTGGACACAATACTTTCAAATATAATGAATAAAATGGCTTCATGAAGAGGTACAATATGTACTCACTATTGGTCCATTCTTTAGAGCATGATCCTTTGCAAATTTGCATGCCTGTTTTACAGCAAGGACATCCATACCATCCACCTATTACACAAGGAAAATATTTGGTAAACCATAAACATAACCATTGATGGCAGTAATGTAATTGAGATATAGAGAGAGACCTCTACAATTTCTCCGTTACCCTTCTCAAATGAGTTGGAAAAGAATGAAGCATGGGGTTTAGCAATACTCTAATAATATAACAAAAGCTACATCCCACAAGGAAATACATGTCACAAGGAAATATATGTACCTGATACTTCATAATCACACAGACTCACACTCTTAAAAAATGTTAATACTCCATATAATGTATGCATTTCTATCAGATCATTGTTTTATTGAAAGAAAAAGCATATATTTGTTGGGACACTTGCTCATATATGCGGAATATAAACTAAAATACAGTGTGGTTGACCTTTCACATTCATCAGAAATCAACAGAAACATTTGTTTGGTATATGGGCAAGAATGATCACCCATTTTAATTAAAAATCATGAATTCAATCACAAGATGTATGTGAATAAAAAATGCAGAGCTTTCACACTTTGAAACAAAAAAGTGGATTTAAATATTTCCTGATTACAGAAATCTGACTTTTTTGGGTCCAGAACTCAATGCTACGTATTCCCACAATGCACCATACATAATAACTTCTTCATCATCAGGGACGGATTTAAAAGATATCAAACAGCTCTCAAAAACTAGAGGAAAAGGCACATGCTTTATTTATAAATACCTTTAAACCAGGAACATAATCTCCTCTCTTATAATAGGCAGGACTTTTGGCTGCCCTCCATTCTGCAGTCCCCATTCCATCTGCATAACAGAGCCATCAAACACTTGGCAAGTTGCTCCATACAAATAACCTACTCATGACTAACCCCTTAGCAATATTGAGAAAACTTTATCCTAAACTCCTATGTACAGACTACTGTCATGCATTTAGTTTTATTATAATGTAGTAGTACTGAAGCAGTAAGATATTTTTATAAGTGGTGTAGAAAGAATACATGAGGGCCAGCATAATTTACAATCAAAGATCAGTCATCTCTTACAGTGATTATTCTCGCAAACCAGAATAGCAGGCAAATCCCAAAGCGCGGCCATGTTCAAAGCTTCAAACAGTTGACCCTGGTTGGCAGCACCATCTCCATACAAGGAGAATGAGACATAATCCTCTTTTGAGTACTTCTGAGCAAACGCCAATCCAATACCTAGCGGAACCTGAGCCCCTACTATCCCATGGCCTCCGTAAAATCCACTATCCTTCTTGTAAAAGTGCATCGAGCCTCCTTTCCCCTTAGAACACCCGTCCTTTCGTCCCATAAGCTCAGAAAACGCCCCCAGTAGCGTCCCCCCGCGGGCAAGGTAGATGCAGTGGTCTCGGTACGCCGTGATGATGCAGTCCTTTCTAGTAATCGCGGACTCCATGCCAACAGCAACCGCTTCCTGGCCGTCGTACAGGTGACAGAAGCCCCGAATGAGCTTGGCCTTGTAGAGCGAGTCGGAGGCGATCTCCATCCGACGCATCAGCGCCATATCTCGGAAGAAGCCCATGAGCTCCTTATCCGTCGTCTCGACGGTGCGCGGAGGAGGATCGACGTTGTGGGCGCTGAAGGGGAGATTAGTCTCGACGGTGATGGCGGCGGCGGAATCGGTGGAGAGGTGGCGGAGGGAGGAGACCGCCACCGAGAACGGATTCAGGAGAGCAGCGATTCGCCGTGTCGATAAAGCCATTTCCGACGGTAGGATTTGACGGCCGGCGAATTTCCAGATCCGGGTGTCTATGTTCGGGAATCGAGATTTGAGGAAAAGTTGGAGCCGTCAGACTGGAACTGTGTTACTACACTCCGTAGTAGAGTACACTTTTCAATTATTATTTGACCCCAATCACCCATTATTTTCTAATTTCTTTTAGTTTTTTTTTATAATTTTTTTTAATTATACTACGGAGTAATTTTCTTCAAACTCTTTCTAATTTTCAAATAACTAATCTATATTTTTAATTTGATTATTATATTTAATTTTATCTTCATTAATCATTATTATTACGGAGTATTATAACAATTACTCCCTCCGTCCTAAAACTTTCTTCCCACTTCCCCTTTTTCTCCGTCCTAAAACTACCTTCCTATTAGAAAAAAAAAGATAACAAATGACATTAATACCCTCATGTATTTACACCAATTATCTTCTAACTCTATATTTTGAATGATTGCAAAAAAAATTTGCAAAAAATCTTTTTTAAGAGGAGTAAAATTTGAAGTCAAAGCCAAAAATTAAAAATGGGGAAAAGTCAAACTGGGAAGAAAGTTTTAGGACGGAGGGAGTATTATGTTCATAACTATAGTTTATTAATTATTTTATTTTTTTGGTTTTTCTATATCACTATTTTTACAATTCACATCCATTATTTTTTTCTTCAACTTTTTAATATAAGCAATACAATTTTTTTGTTTATTAATCATATGATAAAATAGGAAAATATCATATTATAAACTATATCCAAAAATTACAAGTTCATTGTTTTTAATTGAAGCTCACAAATAATAAATTTGTGAGATTTGTGATCATTTTGTTTGTGAATCAAACATTTCTCAAAGCTATTAATGGATAAAAAGTATGATATTTTTTATTATTTACGTGCTAAAAGGTAAGACTACGTATATTAAAGGGGGAAAAGTTATAAAAGGAAAAATAAAAGAAATCACTCTAGATAAGAGTAAAAAACCATGAAAATACCAAAATAGTAATCATAAGTCTTTCTTAAAAAATAATGCATTTTTATACTATAAGAGCATTCAATTCACAGCAGCGTGTCAAACCAATGCCACGCCGTGCCACATCAGCAAGTGGAGGCGTGGTGCGAGGCAATGGAGGAGCGTTCCACCCGAACTTTCGTTCCGTCTGCGAGGCATTATTTTTACCAATAATTGATATTCTTGGAGTATTCTTTTCTTCTTTTGAAAGAGATTGAAGGGAAGATTTAAAATAAAGAGAAGTAAGGGCCGATCTAGGGTTTTTGGCAGGTGTGTGGTTCATCCGGATGACTGTGACATTATTAGATGGCTCTTGTTGACCGATGAAGGAAACAAGAGAGTTACAGAGTATTAATTTGTTTGATGCTTCAATATTTTGTTTCTTTAATTAGGATTTGAAATTTTTAAATTTCAATTATTATGAATTTCAATATCCGATATTATATAAAAAGGCAGAATGATTTTTTATGATAAAATGTATAAAAGAAATAATTTCTTATTATTAATATGAAGTATATATTAAAAAAGTGAAAAAAATACTTACTTGCCACTCAACTCATGTGCCACTGCATGATTGGACTACTTTTAATTGGTGAAAATGTACCACGTCATCGTGTGACATTTTATTTTCTCCTTGCCCATTTAAAGATGTGTGTACACGTCTTTAAATGTACACACATTTAGGCCACATTCCCACATCTTTTAGGTTAGAGTTTAAAAATTGGATGTTAGAAAAAACTGGAAGAAGTTAAAAAATTAGAAGGAGTTGAAAAATGTTAGAAGAATTTAAGTGTTTAAAAATTACTCAATTAAATGATCATCCAAATAAATATGTAAGAAAAACAATGATTTTGGATAAAAAAGAATTCATCATTGTCCAATTGTCCATGTTTGAGGTGATATGTTATAAATTTGGATATATAATGTTATTATATATATAAATCATATATAAATACGTTTTAAAGTTGTATGAAACTGGAAAGAGTTGGAAAAAACTTAAATAAGTTGGAAGAAAATGGAAGAAGTTGAAAGTTAATTTTTCCAACCTCAAAGAACAAGATATTAGTGGTTCTAATTAGGATAATGTATTCTTTTAACAAATTCTTTTAAGTAGTACTTAGTCACAAATATGAATTTGAAAATTTTAGAAAAAGAGTATTATTTTGAAAATAAATAAGTTGGAAATATGAATTTTTAATTTTCACTCATTAGAAGCTGATTTTAAAATTTTAAACTATTATTTTGATTATTTTAAAAGTCGATTTTATAAATTTTTGTTAGTACAAATATGAATTTTATTTTCTCCCATTGCATAAATTAAAATTTCATTATCGTCCTAAATTCTTCCATCATACTCCATCCGTTTAGATTTAATCTTCTCATTTGACTTTTCTGGATCAAATTTTGTATACTTTCACTTCGATATATAGAAAAATACATTGTGTTTCACAGACATCCATGAGAACTTCTTATTATTATTATTATTATTATTATTATTATTATTATTATTATTATTATTATTATCTACTATGCTGCATTGTATACACCAATTTTGGTGAACAAAAGGCATATCCTTCTACATAAGTTAAATCAGATAATGTGTTTTTTTTTGTTAATTTTTTAGGAGAATTTAACTAAACAGTATTAAAACATAATGAGTTTTCCAATATAATATTATATGTTCTTATTTTTCAATGTAGTACCATTGTTCATTGTCTACTAGACATTGTTCAAGTAAATGTCCACCGTCACTGAACATTGTTCAAAATAGATGTCACCGTCACTCGACATTGTTCCCGCAACTAGAAATTCAAGTACTATTTAAAGAATAAAAAATTTAATGTACTATATTGGAAAAATACATGTTTTAGTACTATTTAGTTTAAATTTCACTGTTTTTTAGAACTCAAGTTCTGGTTTTGGCCAATAATCCTAGGACCTCGTACACATTTTTCTAGCTATTCAACACGACAACATATCACGCGCAGCAAATCCGTGTACATTTGGGGGATTAGATTAATGGCAATGAATAATGAAACTACACATTATAAAAAAATATTATGTGATGTGGAGTTGTAGATTAAGTATGTAAAATACGGAGTAAATAATATTAATGAAACATATAAGCTTCAAGGAGGAAATTACTAAAATACTTCTTTGAGGCACCGAGCTTCGATGTGCCTCCTTATGGCCTAAAAAGCAAACTCCGGAAGCGCTGTACTCTATAAGAAGCATTCAAAGAATTGGTGTGGCCGTGGGACGAGAGACTTTGGTGCAGAATTCTCCTCCGTTTGCTTACCCGGCGCATGAAGTCTTCCGTGTTCAAAACATATGAGACCTTGGGGATTTATGTTCACCAAGCCAAAGTTAGTGAGAAAAAATGGATATATAGTCTTGCATCACTCACAATGTACAGAGAGAAGAACTTCATGCTCAACTTACCTTCAATGACTTGCAAGCAATCTTGCACTCTAGACTATTCTTTATTTGAAGTCCCTCCATTGCCTTGTGTGTCGCGTATGTTTCGTTCATCGATGCATATTTTCGCTTATTTCTGTATGCAATTGCAATCAAGTGTTATTGGATAAAAGACTTGTTGTGTCAAGCAAGTAACATTTCGACACCATATCCAATTCTTTTTTTAAAAAAAATTGATCACAACCATCATACCAATTTTGAATCCATTGAGAACGGAGCTAAAAGAGTCCATTATTGAACATGTTTTAGCCTCGAGTAACTAATGAATTGGATCAAATCAGCACAATAAACTTCCTTTGCTTTCCTAATGCTTTGGGTACTTAAATAAAGCAAATGCATCAAGGCGTTTAACGGAAACGGCTCTTCTGTTTTTTTTACATGGATAAAACATACATCATGACCACCCAAACTCTAAAGGAGTTGGGACTAAAGTGGGTTTTGTTATTGCATCCTTGACATCGATTTGTTGACATTAATTTTTTTACCCAGATGATCGGGTCATGAATCATGATCTAGTAAATTTTGAAATAAAGGATGTCGATTTTTCAAATTAAAAGCATAGGATCAGATGAAATACAACGATAGCCAAAAAGGCTAAAATTGGAATTCACTGGACGAAGTAAAACCTTGAAATTAAATACCTCTTCAAGAACACTCCTCGAATTTGCTTTTGCTCAGTAGCACATGCGAGTAGGTCATTACTCAAATAAGCGGCAAGGATTGGGTCCACTACAACACCAGCTGCTTCAGGCTTATCCAACCCATAGTCCATGAGCTGAATGGACAACTGTGTTGGTGCAGATGACTACAATGCAATATTAGGGTGTCAAATATGGGTGATGTAATCTCATTATCTGATTATTTAGGTATTGTATGAAGATGCAGAGAGGAAGAGCAACAGAAACTTACACATTGTATTCTATATATGTTCTCATCATGAATGAAAACACGAACATTTTCATGATAAACCACGTCAAATAACAACCCAGACTTTCTTGACTGTTCATACATGTATAACTGGAGAAGTTTGTTTTCCATCTCATCTGTTGCAATCGTTTGGAGCTACATATATAATGCAAGAATAGATGTTGAGTAAGTTAGGGAATGGAAAGCTTTAAAAACAAAACAAAGAAATGATGAGGTCAGGTACTTACCAGCTTGACTAATTTATATATCAGCTTATCTAAGGTGAAGAGAAGATAGGATTGGGCCCCAATGATAGCTCGGCAATCGTCCTCAAACTTTGCATTGTCCGACGAACCATCAAGCAGATTACGGAGTGCAGTCATAAATCTGCAAGGCAAAATGAACATAGAAAGGATTCAGGGTCATATATAAATTTGGGACTTGAATATGTTTTTAATCACTGCAAATTTAGTTTTTTTCTTGGTCCCCGTAATTTTGTTTTTCATCCCTACAATTTATGCTGTTTTCTTTTTAGCCCATCTCTGCCAAACTCCGTTCAAAAGATATTGATGTCGCTCAAAGAACTTCAATCTGACCTTTACACACCAACTTTCTTAGACTCTTTTGAGACTATTAGAGAAGTTAAAACTAAGAGATCATTCCCTCTTTCAGCTAACACTTCTCTGGCTCTCTAGAAATAAAAAAAATAAGTATTTTTTAAAACAAAATGACGTAAAAGCAAGATTGAAGTTCAGGGAGCCACTCCGGATTTCTAAAAGAGGAGGTTAAAAGAGAGTTACTAAAAAGAAATCAGTTGAAGGATAAAAAACAAAAACAAAAATGAAGGGATCCAAAACATACATGAAAAATGATATTTTGCAGGAAGAGAATAACGTATTCAAGTATGACTTCAAAGTTCAAATACAAAAAAAATGCATATATCTCAATAACCTAGCATATATGTCAGTGGGGTTTGCAGCATTTGACCCTCTCCATCTGTTCTCAACTGAAGAAGAAAGCAACTTTGCCTTATGCATTCTCTCGTACAAGGTCTGTTTAATTCAAGAGTGTTAATAAGTATTGCAATACCATCATGGTATCTCCAGTGATGTAAATACATGTTACCTGGTGAAGTCTAAACAGCATGTAGAAGGAATCATTTCCATAAAAAATTCTCAATCCATCCTTGTCATGCAATGCTAAAGGAACTAGTGTGTTCAGAGGCTTAGCTGTTGTCTGTATGCCACTTACCAACAATGGCAATGAAATTCCATCTTCAGTATCATGAACATAATCTATACCATCCACCTCAGCTTCGTTCTCAGCCTTGTCATTTTCATTATGGTCACCATCTTCATCATGAGAGCCTTCGCCATCAGCAGACTCACTTCCTGAAACATCCCCATGTTCAGATGCATTTCCAGTGTCCTCTGATGTTCTTTGAGTACTTTCATCGCCTTCACCATCAGCATCATTTTCACCTCTAGCCACTCTACCGCATGACTCTTTTCTATCACCAGTTTGGTACTGTTTGTTAGTGGTAGTTTCCTTTGTAGTTTGTACCAGTGCAACTTCTAGGTCATTACTTGCTTCAATATTGACATCAAAATCATCATTTGGAGATAATTCACCCTCTTCTCTCTCAAATTTTAGTAATTCTTCTGAATTAAGTGCTGGACAGTCGACTTGCACTGCTTTTGTGAACCTAAGCTCCTATTGCACCAGCCAGGATAAACAAATTAGAAATCACTCAAATCAGCTGTGAGGCAGGTTTTAGATGCATAATTTACAACAAAACTACAAATCTTTAGCATACCTTAGCTTCTTTTGAAGTTCTTATCTCAAGTCCACTATGAACAGCAGTTCCACAAAGACCTACCAATGGAAAAAACAAAGTCAGCATTATCACCATAATCCCAACTAGGTTAGGATCCGTGGCAAAATATTTACGATATCAATTAATTGTGTAAACTTAGTTAATGCCATATATTCATGCAAAAGAAAAAAGAATTTTGCAATAAATGGAAAGGAAGATTACTGATCAAACTAGGACCCATTTGCAAAGCACAAGTATTTTCTCTACCAAATTTCCCATGAGTCTCCTTCCTTGCAGCAGCACTTAAATGGGCTTCCTGCTCAGCAGAAATCACACCACTTGGTGAATCGCCAATGTGAGGTGGGTTACGTGGAGCATTAATCTTCCAAGCAGATCTATCTGCTGCAGTATGAGTATCATTCTTTTTTACTAAACCACTAGTATCAGCTAAGTGAACTCTGGATGAAATCGAGCGCTTGGGATGAGGACCTTCATCTCCTTTTTTGTAAAAGTTGTTTGGTAGTCCGGAATTAATCACAGTGCAACCACTGGCATTAGCAGGACTCCTGACCCTCTCCCCAACAGCACCAGTGATGGTTTCAGCAATGTGATTGCTGTCCATCTTGATGAATTCTCTATCGTTGGAAACTTGAGGATGATGAGTACCAAATCCAAGCATTGGCTCCACAAATGTAGTCCAGACCTTCATAACTTTATCAAGCTGCTCCGTTGTGCAAAATTCTTCACAAGCAAACTTAATGAGCTCATAAAGGTCCTCATGGATGTCAGGATCAGGAAACGTAAATTCCAAATGAGGAACTACTTGCAGTCTATTCCCGATAGCAACAGAAAGAAGCAAATCATCCTCTTTGCACTTCATTTCACCAATTTCTTTTATTTCAGCCAATAATGCTGGATAGAAAGAGAAATGTATGACCTATGAGGCAAGGCAAGCACGTGTTTCATACCAACTTAATAAAGTGAAATGTTTCAAAGTAAAACAAGCAAATACCATGTCAAACAATTCTCTAAAAATAAAGATTAAGAGAATGACTTACATATATAGGAAAAATATATGAAATCTAAACCAGCATCTGGAAGAACATATGACAAGCCACTGGATTGCAGTTTTTAACAAGACAGCCATCCAAACAATTTGGCAAATGGCAAAATAATAATAATAACAACAACAACAACAACAACAACAACAAATTCTTGCCTAACCCCTACACTAAAATGCGCTTTTGGGCATCATAACCCCCCCCCCCCTTCCCACCCTCTACAGGGCTGGAAAGAAACATGTAGCCTTTAATATACCTTCTCACAAAGGAAAAAAGTGGCATTCTCGGAAACTAGTAGGCATCTTCCATAAAAGACACCGAAAATGAAAATCAGTATTCAACAAGTCAACACCCTGAACTTTTAAAGAAACATGGATATATTGACAAAACAATCTGGGAAAAAAGTACCAGAGAAGAGGGAAGATCCAAGATTGGAGATATTGGAATACCAACGAACATAAGTGGCAAGAAGCAAAAAGAATGATTGATGCGTGACATTTTTGGTGAAGTTATTGAGATCAGATACCATACGACCACCGCAGAGTACGCAATGGAAGAGGCCAAAGGGGAAGAAGAGATTGGTGCGGAAAGGATGATTGTGCATCTAGAATAATTCCTAGTGATGCAAGAGAGAAAAATGGCATTTATAAATTCATATTAAATGTATGACTTATTTTGCATATTAGAACTTAAGAAACTATCAAGACGCTCTAGGAAAACAACCGTACAACACATTCTAGGAAAACAGAAGTAAAATACTAGGAAAAGCAACCATACAACCTGGTTGTTTGTTGTACTTGGAGATAGCAACAAAAAGGAAATCAAGACAGTAAGGCAGCATATAAGTATGTTTTTTGCTATAAAGGCAAAAAGGAAAAAAGTCCCAAATCAATTATAAGTTAAAAAAAGTCAAATTCCTAAACCAATTTAAAAGAGGAAAGTTGATAGTGGAGAGAGCAACAAAAAGTAAATAAATATAGAAGACACATCATACAGCTCGTCAGCCCATCACCAAATAACACAAATATTAAGCCAATGTGCGCTACAAATTGAAGCTCTTCAGCTAATTTCTGACTTTTGAATCTAAGATTAACTATGAACTAAAGACACCATTTCTCTAGGATTTGCACTTGAATTCAATTGGGAATTCAAATTTACAAAAAGGAATGAGAAAGACACGAGCATCTTCCAAACTTAAACATTCAAAATAAATCATGAGTGCCATACAAACACTCGATATATTAAACAAAAAGTCTAACGAAACAAGGAAATAGCAACTATGATGTTCCAGAACAGCTGATGTCTCACATATGTAATCAATACTACACCTTCTACGCACCTCAAGGTGAAATAAAGAGAGCATCTGTGAAATTGTACATCATAATGTCATATGCCCATGATTGGGAAAATTTGTTCTGCATTACCTTTAGTACTCAAGCTCTTTGTGTCCTGTTGCTTGAAGTAAAAACTACGATGATCCAGTGATTTATGATAGTTTTTAACATAAATATCAGCCCATACTTTATTATAATCGTAACGACACCTTGCCCATTCCTCTTGCTTCTGCTTCAACCGAGTCAGAATTACTGGCAGAGCAAGTGGTGCATTCTTCCTCAACACATCCATAACATCAAGCCCATGATCACCGTAGAGACGCTCTATGCATCTTAGGTTGAGAGCTGCAGAAAAATAACATTATTAGAGAGTATCCCACATCAGAAAAGTGAGAATAAAATAATCGGTATATAAGCTCTTGAGTTGAACTATGTAATCGATTGGATTCAATATATTAATGCGGTTCAACCCAAGTGTCTTATTATTCAAACCAGTTATCCCTAACGCATTCTAAATTCTATCATAGTATCGGAGCCAGTTTTAGCCCACCTTGTTTGTTAAGGTGTCCGTCCAGACATTCATTCCTAGCGGTAACCCGATTGCTTGTCTAGAAGTCCATACCCAGGGGCTCGTGGTTCTTTAGGTGTTGGTGCTCAAAAATAAAAATCAAGGGGATGGGAGTCTATTTGCAAGTGGTCAACCGGTTAAATTCAAAATGGCTCGGTCGTCCACTTGAGGGGGAGTATTAGAGAATATCCCACATCGGAAAAGTGAGAAGAAAATAATCGGTATATAAACTCTTGAGTTAAGCTAAGTAATCGTTTGGATTCAATCTTTTAATGCGGTTCAACCCAAGTGTCTTATTATCCAAACCAGCTATCCCTACCGCATTCTAAATTCTATCAAACATTAAGTACTAAACATGAGAGAATATTAAATATGAAATTAAACAAATAATCACCACTTATCAGCATGTTACCATTGAGATAGTCTTCAACCCGAATGGGGGTGTCATCACTTCTTGTATTATCGTGGATCTTATCGAGCAATACTTCAACACGTCTCGTGGTCACATTTACAGATTCCAACAGCATATCCAACTCAAACCTGGCATCACCAAAATACTATAAATAAAGTACGGGACATAAAAAACCAAGCTACACTTCAAACACACAAATTTGGGATATGGTTAATACTTTATAACTTTAGGTCAAACAATAATCAGCTCTAGTGCTCCTCCCTTCTGTCTCCACGTCTGCAAATCTCTAATCTCCCGTCAACTTAATAATGCAATTAAATCAAGCTTTTACATTGTGAGACCATCGCTATTAACTACGAAGTATTTCACTAGGAGTCTATAAAATATTTATAGATATAGACTGCAAGATAAGCAGAAAATCGTTCCAACCACATAATAGAAGCCACAACACATGAAAAAAATAAATCATCCATCTTATATATGATCAATACATCTAGTTAAAAGATATTCCACCCATTTCCTCCATATATGGAAACCGTTATGAACTTTATTTATTTTGCTAGCATTTATTGAAGATTGTTGTTGTTGCTAGCATTTACTGAAGTCCTTCAATCAATTAAAAAGAAGTAGAATTCAAATTTCTCATTAAAGAACCAATGCATTGCATGTGTATTGATCGAATTATAGCTAATACCAAATAAAAAATATTATCTGGAAAAACAAAGGTTAAAGAAAAACTACTATCCAAGTAGGGGTAAGTTCTGCTTACACGCACCCTCCCGGATCCCACTATGTGGGATTTTACTTGGTTTGTTGTTGTAAAGAAAAAAAGTTGCACTTTGTTTTACATGTTACGTGATATTGTGATAAAGTCAGTAAATGTTGTAGAATCATGAGGATGAGAGAAATATCCAACCTGTCATCGTCACAACGAAATAAGCTCTCTTCATATTGGTTTTTACGCATATGTTTAAATGAGTAATCTTCACTCCCAGAAGTTACAGAAACCCAGTGATCATTTAAAACCTCTTTGCCTATCTCAGTTCTCTGGCTTGCTACTGGAATTGGATACTGAATATAAGCAAAGCCAAACTTAAAACAACATACACACGCACACACTTCATAAAAGTATCTCGGATTATCACAATTATAAAGACCGATGATTACATTCTTAGGGAGAAGTCTATAACTGGGAGTGCAATGCTCACAGTCAGAGAGGTCAAGTTCATGTATAGGTTTCCCGATATACTTATCCTTGCTTGAGAAGATCTTCTGCGCCAGTAAATCTTTAGGCATGTCCCCCTCTCTGGTATCATGATCTTGATTTCTTTCTTCCCACACATGATCCTGATCTTTATCTCTTTCTTGAGTTTCTTCTACCTTCACCAATATGGGAAATTTCCCATCATTCCATAGGGATGCTGAAGGTTAAAACCATTAGTTAGAGACTATCCACATAATAGTGTGATTTTTTTGTGTGATTTTAAGCAGTGACTAATGGTAAAATTGTTAAACAATAAGGTATTCGTTTCTTATATGCTTGGTGTTAAAAGGCACGGGGCGTACCGAGGCACTTTTGGCCAAACATTTTGAGGTGCGAGACAGAGGTGTGTGCCTCAAAGATTTGAGGCACATCTAGTTAACTAAACTCAATTATATATTTATATGGCTTGTTCAAGATATCATCCAATAACTTGAACACATAATAATATAGTAATAAAAGAAATCTCCAAAGATCAATAATAACAAAAGATTAAAGTGTTTTGCACTCCAATCTATATTTTTTAACACTCCAAACTGAGATTAAAAACAAATTGCATTAGATTATAAAAACAGTATTGTATAAACATTCAGCAAAGATGAAAGAGAAAAGATGAGCGTGAAACAGTACTAAATTTTTGGGGTCAAATACTGAAGTAATTTGCATCATTATTAGAGTACAAAAAAAAGTACTGAACAGAGGAGAAATCGACTGTGAGATTGTTAGGTGCCTGGAGACGCGTTACAGTGAGTGAGAGAGTAAGAAAACTGAGAGAGTATTTGACTGAATAAAGAGTATACCTGGAGATGCGATACAAAGAAGTTAACTGTGGAAGAAGTCGATGCAGAAGAAAAGATGAGAAAGCAAGAAGAGTAGTCAGATGAGATGTAGATGTTTTGAGGTTAGTGTTTAGATACGCATTGTTTTCAAGAAAAAACTATCTGATTCGACCCGGTTTCGTATACAATAACCCTACCTCTCGCCTCACGACTTACGACAGGCGCACTAATACACAAGAAGCGTGCGCTGCGCGCTGGTGTCCTGACTCCTGAGGCATTTTCTTGATTGCATCGCTGCGCCTCACGCGCTTTTTAAAACCAAGCTTATATGCGACAACTAAACTACATGGTCAGAATATCAATCATATTGCTGAAGAAGACAGGTAAAATCCTTTTAACTAGAAAAGAACAATCTTACATACATTTATTCAGGGTAGCGGTAAGGTAACCATCTGCATTGTACACCAAAATACATGAGTATAGCATGCAGAACAAAAACTCAATGAAGAATAAAACAAACATTTAATGATAGAGAATACGATTTAGATTTTTATTACTACCTATGTTATCACAGTGGCTTATAAACTCATTGAAACCTTCCATAAGGTCCAGATGTCCTTCAAGTAAATCAGTTACCTGAATAAATGAAAACGTCATTTCATTTATCCATTTACTCTTGCCCCAATCTAAAGATGCAATCATCATAACAAGAACTTTCCGTGGGCATACACAAGGTCATAATGTCAAGCCATAATGTATAATTGGATATTAATAACTATTATTATTATTATTATTATTATTATTAGCCATTAACTTTTTTATGTAGTGTGATAAGTGTGTGTATCGTCCAAGGTCTTCCCGAAGATATCACAAAAAAAGAACGGAAGCTTGAAGAATGAATCTATAGTAAAAAAGATCAACCGCACCTTCTCACCCTTGGCAGGGAGTGTGTGTGTTTAGCCTTGCTAAGACACATTGAAATTAATACTTCATAAGTTATTAAGTATTTTAAACTATCAACTCTTATAGAGCTATTGCAGTCCTCATCATATAAGGGGAGAGTTGTAAAGAATATAGAACTATGGTAACTAAAGACTTGCTATAAATACATATACTAAATTCAATATGAATCTAACGTTAGAAAAGTGCAACTTGAATTTAGTGAAGATTATGGTATAGGACAACATTTGGAGGGATCCCTGCCATTGACAATGTGAAAATGTCTAACCCTTGTCCAATGCTGAGTGATAGACAGATAGGAAGTCTTATATCTATACTATGTTAGATTTAATTGTATTGTTTGATTCGTGGTCAGAAGTTAGTTAGTTTAGATTTAAATTTTAAAAATAAAAGGAACAGTTATGAGTAGTTATTTCTAGAGGTTATAGGTAGTTATTTCTAGAAGTTGTATTAGTTAGTAATAGATGTGTTGATTAGTACAAAAAGTGTGTTGGTTGCTGTCTATAAATAATCCAGGAACATAGAATTCCTGTATGTAGTTCACAATAAAAAAATCAGAACTCTATTCTGCATTTGATTTGTTCTTCCTATTATTTTTTTTCTAACATACTCAACCCAAAGTACCCAACAGACAATCCCGCAGATATGCACTGGTCAAACACCTCAAAGAAACTACATGGTCCAATTCACTACCTGGTTTGTCCATTTGTTTGTGGGTGATAAAGGAGAAGGTGAGCTTGGAACCAAACAAACAAAAAAACTCAGGCAAAAAAAAAACTCACGAACACTTCGTCGTGGAGATGATGGACTCGAGCAGCACATATTTCTTCACCCTAAATTATTGCTCTTATTAAACTGGACACGAGATTTAAGAAAAAAGAAAGCTATGTGTTTGAGGCTTATTTACAAGAGGAATAAATAATGCGGGGTATTAATTGTATTTTCTTTCCATAAAAGAAATGGGTGATGATTAAGGTACAGGTGAAAGACAAAAGTGAGAAGCCAGTGTAGGATGTACATGATTGTGAATGAGTGTGTCAATGCAATGAAGTCCACATCCTTCTCCAATGGAATCCCTAACAAACGCGTTATAGGATATTTTCAATCCTTTAGGGCCCATTTGGTGAGTTTTAGAGATATTATAATACATGAGTTTTAAAATCTGGGAGAAATTATATGGGTTTTGAAATCTGAATAAAAAATGTTTGGAGAAAATAAAAATCAAATCATAGCTATAATTGTTTGGTCAGTAATTAAAAAATCAAATGCATGTGTTGAATAATGTTCTAATATGGGTGTTTAAAATACTCTGTTATAATTTTAGGGGTGAAACACGCGCGCACACACACACACACACACACACACACATATATACAAAATCCAAATTCCATGAAAAGTATACTCTGTACAAATGAAGCATTATTTGAATTAAAAAATCTGTTACATTTTTTTTGAAAATCTATATTACATGCAAATAAGATTGAAGTCATTAATGTTATACCCGAGCCTAGCCCCATGAAACTCTCACTCACGCCTTACACTATCATAAGAACCAAAGGACTTATATTCAAATATTATGATCCATTTTAGTTGAATTCAAATGGTCCTTAAACCCGAAAGGCCAAAACAACCTCCGTTTGACCCAAGGGTTCTGTGGTCTACTCCCATTTCAGTCCAAACCATCCCAAAACATCCAAAATATTTCCTTTTCAAAATAAAGTTTTTTCCTACTCTTATTTTAGCCATGGCCGAAAATAAGAGTGTATAAACCAAAACCTTTTTGTTTGTTGTTATTTTCCTTCTTTTAAGCCTTTTAATAAACCAGTAAAACCCTCTCTTCCTTCCTTTCATTCCCTGCCCAAATAAACCTCACAATCCCAACACAACACCGACAAAGAGCCAAAACCATGACCCACCTCCAGCCCCTACTTCCTGCCCATGTTTTCCCTCACAGTAACCCAAAGCCATAACTCCAAAATACCCATAAATAATACCCAGCCCTGTCCCCTTTTAATGACCAAAAACAACCCCTCTTTTATTCCCCAACATTGACCAACCATTGTCCCCCTTGTGTCTCCCACCTAGGCTGAATAAACAATAACAAAAGGACAAAAGACTTTTGTGAGTTTATTGACACTCCACCCACCAAATCAGTCCCCACATACCTTCCATGAATGACCCAATATAAGGCCAATAAAACCAACCCCTTTGTCCCCCATTATTTCCCAAGAATCATCACTTATTTCCTTGTGATTTTCCTCACTAAAGGACAAGCCACCAGCCATGAAAATCAAAGACCAAATCCCTGATTTCATTCCATTAAGAAAACATAAACAAATGGATATTATTCTTGTGATTTGTGAGTGGATGTTTCAGGGAAGTTTCCCCCCTATGTGTGTGTATTTATTTCGGCCTTAGGCCNTTTTGTGAGACTCACATTGTAATTCCATTTTCCATTTAGTAATACACTTGTTGTGTTTGCTATTTAAATTCCTAAATCTATATCTTAAGAGTGGTTATCTTAAGTGTGAGTTTTAGGTTCTAGATATTTGATTAAGTGTGTCATATCTTAATTAAATTCTAGATTCAAACCCCAAGTTAGGATAAGAGTGTGTAATATCTCTTAACACCAACTTGGTTTTATCCATCCCTGATTTTTCTTCCATTTCATATCCCTCCATTTCTCCTTCTTAACCCTATTCTTTTCTTCCATAAAATACCAAAAAGAACTCCTAAAACACCATCCATACTTTTGCCCACTATTTCCCTTCCATTTTCCTCCGCAAATCCGCCACTAAATTATCAACTTAATAAGACCCCCGTTTCACCCCTAACAATTAAGCAATTGTTAGCCAAATTCTTTTCTTTACAAATGATTTCTACTCCAAATCACAAAATTTTAAAATTTGATAATTATTGGCTTTGGGGCAAGGTTGAATGAAGCAAAATGGATCTTTAAACTGTTTGTGCTTCTTTTAATAGTGAAGTAGTAGTTAGTCAATGCAACTTTCAATGCTCAGCATGGGTCATCATGAGACTCTGAAAGGAGGCATTAGATACTCAACAGAAGTGAGAATTTGAAGTGTCTGTGATGAGCGCAAAATGCTGTTTTTTGAACATCTTTGGGGGCCACGTGGTCTAATCACAATGGTAGAAGATATGGTGTTGTCAATCTCATCCAAGGGCAAGTACAGGTGTGCTTCAATTAAGAGAATGAAGTAATCTTTTTCAAAGTTTAGGTATTGACAAAGTGCACGGATGATGAAAAATGAAAAGTGTGTGACTTACTAAAATACAAAACCTAAATTCAGTAGGAATCACGAGCAAAACTTGTGTAACTTGAGCTTTACTCCATGCAACATGCAGCGTAGTTGATATTGGTGCCTGATGAGTGGGTTCCACATCATAGGGTAGGCAGATGGTCAGATTCAGGACGAACGAGCGTGGGAGCAAGGGTGGACAGAACATGGGCAGGTTTCAAACAAGAGCCTAACTGAGAATCTGAGATACAATCTTACACAAAAAATGTTTAACTAAAAAATAATGTTTTTAATGGCTGATGTCATTGTTATCAGGCCGTCGACTAGTCGGCGACTTCCGACTAGTCGTCCGTTCGTTTTCTCGGTGGCAACTTGCATCTGACTAGCGACTTGGGTAGACTAGTCATCCGGGTAAGAAAAGCGATGACTAGTCGCTGGCAAAAACCTACCCAATTTGACCTGACCCGACCCTACCCAAATTTCATTAAATTTTAAAAAATACTCCATAAAATATCGCCCCCTTGGTTCACAGCACAATTGTGCAATCGACTTTAACCCTTCTCAAATCCGGACGTCTCTTTCATCGCCATCTTCCACAATGGAAGAAAATCGTCATGGTGGCATAACGTTGGATGATGATATTTGATAACTCAAAACATGGAATTAAATATTTTAATACTCCCTCCGTCCCCCTAAAGATGTTCTCATTTTGACTTTTGGTGGTTTTTAAGGAGAGTTGAAAAAGGTGAAAGTTTACCATAATACCCTTAATGAGAATTGGGTGGAGTGTATTAAATAAGGTGGGTGAGGTGTAATAAATAAAGTAAATGAGGGTAGTTGTGGTATTTTAATTGTTAAAAAATGAAATGAGAAGATCTATAGTGGACGAAGAAAAAGGGCTATTGGGAAGATCTATGGGGGACGGAGGGAGTATGTTCTTTGACTTCTTTTTGTGCTTATTATCTTTGGTGGTGTGTTGTTTGAAGATTGAAGGATATGTGTTTCTTATGTACCCTTCGTTATGTGATTTTATGTGCTACCTTTAAACATAATTTTGTTTTGGTAATGATATTTTGTTATATAAATATTTATAGTTATCTTGGATTAATGAAGATATATATAATGTTAAAAATTTCAACACTAATTGTGATTTGTCGACTAGTAGGCTGACTAGTGGACTAGTCCACTAGTCTCCTCTTCACCGACTTGACTCGACTTCTCAACTTAACAACCATGGCAAATGCCGGACTGTGACGAACAAGCAAATCCCAAATTCCCACCATGGCACCATATGATGCCCCAACAAATTTTAACAGCCCACCATTCTTCACAAATTTGATGTGGAGACCTATTTTACACCACCACCATGGCTGCTTTTTTTACAATACAGTTCAAAGATACTCCCTCTCTCACACTATGTTTGTCTCGCTCTTCTAATTTGCTCCATCCAAAGATATTTGTATCATACTTATTATGACTTATGTGGCTCAAATCAATTTATACTTTTGAAATTTAATATCAACAACACAATTCGCTTTTCCCTAATGTGTGTGTGTAAACCAAACATCAAGTTTTCAAAAGGTTACTTCAATGGCATGCACTCATCATTTTTATTATTGCCAAAATGAAATTACATTGAACTGTGTAAGTTAGAAAATACTACCATTAATCACCAAACGCTCAAGTTATTTTCAGATGTTCTATGCATGTTCCACAAGTACATTCCACTACTTCAAGGCAAATGACAGAGCTAAGGCTTCAACAGAACTTGAATGAGAAAATGAGATATCATGATTGTGTATCCACCAAAACAATGAAAAGCAATAAAGATAATACCAGGGATTGCAACTGTAATTTTGTGATTGTTTCTACCGAATATGTGTGAAGACACCTCAAAAGTTGTTGGTAATAATCAGAATTCTGCAGTTTTTCCTTAATTTTTTCAAACAATGTTAGATGTTGATCGAGCACACCTGCCCACATGTAAAGCAAAAGTGTAGTGGAAAAATTATTGACAGGTCTTAAATTTATTAAAGCCTTGCAAATGATCAAATAACTTCTTAAATTATTTAATACAATAAGAGAATTAGTAAGATAAGACTGTTGTCTTAACAGATATTCACACCGTGGTTAAAATGACTTGCAATGGCATCTCTATATACAGATGTCTTGTCCAAATCCTTTTCGTCAAAATCTATTTCTCTTTTTTCCTGTTTGCACTGTTCTGGAGAAGGCCGATTCTGATGGTGGCCATTTTCTGCATGCAAACCAGTGGCCTTCTGGAACAACAAGCCAAATAATGTTATTACCCCAAACAAATCATAATGTATCCAATTGTCGGCAAGTATCTACCTTTTCAGTGGTGCTTCCCCTGATCACAGGAGGTACTTTCTCATCATTATGTAAGATATGAGTTCTATCAACCAAAGCTCTGGACGATGCATTTGGTAAAAAATTTGTGAACTCCCCAAGCAAATCAGGGTGGTCATGAAAGAGCAAAGAAACCTATCACCAGATATTAGTAAAAACAAGAGCATCAACAGAGATAAGCAGCAGAACACTAATTGGCCGTAAATAATCTCAGTGATGCTTCCCATTAGCACTAAAGTGCCACTGCATGAACTTCTGCATGCATAGTGAAACTGCATGAACTCTTGCACGCAAAGTGAACTACGCAATGGGAACATCCATGGACCCACCGTCCCAACACATGTATATAAATAATTTTTAAAAATTCATGATCTACACCATGGATTTACAAATTTAAAATTACAACATGATGTCATTTGACTTCTTCCAAACACACATAGAGCTAGTCGTACTAACTGAAAGTTGTGCGTGTAGGAGGTTTAAAGTTTTTTATGGGTACAACTCTGCGAATGAATTCTCGACTTCTCGTTCGATGACTAAATTATTTTAATGCATACATTATATTAATGCTAGAATGATCATAACCAGTAATCTTGAATTTGATGATTATGGTTCCGATACACACACGTGTGTGTATTCTCCTTTGCTTTTTGTACAAAGATTTAGAAAAGCATAGTTATCATGGCGCCAAGTCGAGGCGCGGTGCCGAGATACCGCAAGGACGCTAAGTCGACTAGGCGACTGCCTAGGCGACTGCCTAGGCGACACAGAGCATAGGAGAATCGCTATACATTAAAAACAAGAATATAAATATATCAAATTATATATTGTAGTTGGTAAAGTTTAAATTTTTCTAATACATCAAAGTTTAACTACCAAAGTTACTTTTAAGTACTTTCTTCAAAACAAACAAAGTTGAAAAAAAGTGTTACCAACTTAAGTTGGTAATAAATTAATCATTTAAAATTTAAAAAACTAAGCACCGAGTATTAATTAGGAAGATAAAGTAGAAAAAACATTAAACTGTGAATAAATTAATTTATAAAGCAGTAAAATAACTAAGCACTGGAGCCGGAGGTCTAAAACACTTAAAAGAATAAAGCACTGGTGTTAAAGGAACAAAAGTACAGGACTAGGCAAGCCAAGGCGAGGCTAAGGCGATGCCTAGGCAAGGTATGCGAAATCAGGCGAGGCGAGCTCTCATGGCGAGTTTAGAAGGGCGCCTGGACGCCTAGGCGATGCCATGATAACTATGTAGAAAAGTGAAATTGTGTGGTTGAGATTTATGCAGAGGAGAGATAATGTGAACCGAACATTTTTTTTTCCTTGACGGGAAATGGGAAGATAAAAGAAGAATGGAGGGAGTAGGTTGTTATTTTTTAACTTCCCTTTTGGATAGACTCCGAGAACTAGGGGAGGGGGGGTTTGAGGAGAGGAGTTGAACCTGGGCGAGGCATGAGAACGTATGGTGCACCAAACACTTGACTACCTCTGACCCTCGACTGTTATTTCTTAAGTATAGGAAACCCAAGAAGTTAACCAAAGTATAGCCCTAGCCCACTATAAAGTCTATCTTTACTTCTTTATAAGAATGTGTACTGTAATCCTTCAAAATCAGTAAAAGTAATTCAAAACCTATTACTATCTTCTTTTATTGCTAGTTTCTTTAACATTGTTTTTTATGTAACTAGAAGGAAGCACTTTTTAAGGCCACCAGCTAGCCTCCCAATATCACAGTATTCAACGTGGTATCTGAGCACTGAAGGTTGAAATTTCCTTTCTCCTTTTTTAGAAAAAAAAAGAGACATGAATAGTGCATAGTACAGAGTGTTCTGCTAGTGATTCCATTTCACCTATCTCCAGTCACTTTATATGCAATATAACATCTCAAGCATCACCCCACAATTTTGGCCAGCCCAAAAAAGTTTCTCACCTGATCTGATCCTATATATAAATTGTTCCTTAAGTGTTTCCATTTTTCTATTAATGTCACACTGGGAAGACCGATTTATTATCCAAATATTTTGATCCTTCATTAAAAATCGTCAATTGGCATTCCATTCAAGAAGTGTTATTATCAAATTATTTGTGCCTTGGAACCTCTGAGTCGTTGGTTTATAAACCCAATCTGATTATCTAAATATTTTTATTTTCCATGCCCTCAAATATAACAAAGTCCCATATCTGAAGTATGTGAGAGACAAAAAGCAAAAAGCATATACCTCTTGTAAAACCTCAGAGATTGATTTGTTTTCCTTTCTATACATATTCAGAACGTCAAGGAAACATTTATACACGTAATCATCCCCTTGAAACCTAGCCTGAGAGAAATAAATTTTTCAGAAGAAACCCCTACAGCAAAGTTACACGTGAAATCCTAAAATGGTAAATCCTCACCTTTATCTTGTTAACAAAACTGAATGCCTCTTCAAATTCAACTGCCTTTTTCACTGGAGGTGGTTTTGGTTCATCCTCGGATTGCAGGGTGATCTCATATCCCTTTGGCAAAAATGTATTAAAACCCAAAATTAGGTTTTGATGTCCTTTAAAAAGGTCCTTCACTCTTACTATGACGCCAGATGTGTCAATTCTGTTAACAAGTTAACACCAACAAGTATTACACGAAGATGAACCAATTGTGTTGTTTCAGTGGAAGTAAAAGCAGAATTACGAGAATCCAATAAGGATGTTGTAAAAAACCTTTGTGCTTTGAAGTCTTTCATGACTTCAAGAAACTCATCATATTTGTCTCTTTTTCCATGAAAGATATCCTTCACATTCTTGAGATACACAAGGGCATCACTTGTTGTTAGCTTCTGTGTTCCATTTCCGCTCATCATCTGGTCTTGATCTACACTTCAAGGTCCACAAAGCTAAACCTATAGAATGATAAAAATAATACATGGTGATGGATAAGCCATTAGGAATGCTACTTCAAAAATAATTAAGATCAATAACTATAATGAGCCCACCTGGGAAAATTGAGACAGTAAGAAAACAAATCTATGTTGGGAAAAAGAAAAGACATTAGAATTGCAACGCACTAAAAATATAACGAGGAAAATGGGCAATATTCAAAGGTTTTAACTTTCAATTGATGGTCCAACAAAAAGATCACATCCACAACCAAACAGCAACTGATCTCACTGGCAACAAATGGCTTAATACTTCCCGATTGACAAATATTTCTTCTTAAAACTTAAGCTTAAGGCAGGGTATGCACGGAGGAATAAGCAGAGAGGGATAAGACTTCAAGTTTCAGCAAAAAATTATCCCCACGCAGATCACTAACCCGGAAATTTCACCAAAATCGCACGGCTTCAAATTCAAAATAGCAGCCGAAAGTCATCCAAATTTACCAGGAGATCTTTCAAATTTCAATGCGCCGACGAGCTTCGATGTCCGGAGCGAAGAAACGATGCCTGGAACCCCGATTACTGGCGACTGTGCGTTAGAATCTTCGATTTGATCCAATTAAACTGAATTCCTGTCACGTATGTATCTATAATCGTAAATGTATGTGAGCTCTCCGTGAAGAAGACATGGAGGGATTGATATATATACAGAGAGAGGGGGGGAGAGGGGTTGTATGTATAGTATCGCGTTAGCTGTTTGTGTATGGGCGGAGAAAGGCGAAAACACGCGCCGCCGAGGAAGTGGTGGTGGAGGAGGACTGGTGGGTGGTTGACGTTTTTCTGCTTCCGTTACACGACGGGTAACTGGATATAGACAATGGGCGGAGACCTACGTGTCGGTAGCACAGGGCTGGGTGTGAATTTAAGGGAAATGAAGGGTCGATTGGGTAATTTAAAGAACTACTAGGAACTAATTACTACGACGATAAATACAAATGATAATCGTCTATGTATGGTTGTATGCATAAATTATCTATGATTATCATTTGTGAGAACATCTGTGCTGAGTTCCTAGCACGACCATTTAACTTATATTTTCGATATATATAGAATTTATGTTGACGATCTTGTTATTGTCACTATTGATGAGTCATTTAATGCATGATTTAAGTTCACATGAAAGATTTGGGACACTTGAAATATTTTTTTGGGATTGAGGTGGCTTGGAACTATAATGGAATTTTTTTACGTTAGAAGAAATATGCCTTGAACATTTTATCTCAATCTAGAATGTTGGGTGATCGTCCAGCCACAACACTATTGCCTACGGACCATCATCTTGCCCTAGCCACAATCAACGAGCTATCTCACCTTGAGTGATTTCGTCGTCTGGTTGGACGCCTCATTTGTTTGACGATTACTTGTCTTGATTTAACATATCCTGTTCATTTCATGTCTCAATTCATGGGAGCTCCTCACCAAGAACATTGAGAAGCACTGCAACATGTGCTTCGGTATATCCTTGTCAGGTAGTCTTTTTCTCAGCCGCTTGTGATATTACTCTCACAACCTTTGTGATTCTGATTGGGCTTGTTGTCCAATTACTCTTCGTTCAATTGGCTATTTTATTAAAATTGGTGTCTCTCATATTTCTTGGAAAAAGGAGAAGCAACACACTATCTCACGCTCCTCCGTTGAAGCCAAATATCGTGTTATCGCCACTACAGTGTGTGAATTAAAATGGCTCAGGTATCTTCTTCTTTCACTCGACATTCGACATCACACCCCTAAGAAGCTCGATTGTGACAATCGGGCTACTCTTCATGTTGTTAAGAACACTCTTTTCTATGAACAAACTAAGCACATAGAGACTGATTGCCATTTTCTTCGTGATGAAATTCAACGTGGGAATCTTCGTACTACTCAAATTGCTTGTGCTGATCAACTTGTCGATAATCTCATTAAGGCTCTAGCTTCCATGCCTTTTGCTCACCAATTGACCAAGCTGGGCACTCGTAATTCCCACGCACTATCTTGAGGGGGGTGGGGTGTTACACACCCTTGTTTCTGAGCCGTAAGACAAAGAGTTATTTTCCTACTAAAATTCCTTCCTTATTATACTTTTTTTGGTTTTCCTTTTTAAACTTTTGGCAAGATTGGAACTTTACTTAATTTCTTGATCCCTCTTCACATATAAAGGGAGTTTATTCTTTGTATTGAATCAAAACCCTTGAAATATATCGAAATATTTCCCATTATTATTTTGTATAGTATGTATAGCATATACATACATACACATGATGAATGAAATGCAAAGCATTTCAAAATCATAATAAAATTACAATGTTGTGGTACATCCAAAAGACTTAAATATCATTGCCAATTTGCCATTGGAACAATCATTTTGTATGCTACTAAGAATTGCTCAAGACACTTATGTTAGATTTAATAGTGTTGGCAAGAAGTATAAGATTGACAAACAAGCTAAGAAGAAACAGTGAGATTAAGAAAGTTAGATGCAGATTTGCCTAAAATGTTGGCAAACTCATTGAAGCTTATGACACCGTCTCCGTTCATGTCTGCCTCCCGCATCATCTCTGTTAGCTCATGGTATGTTAGTGGTTGTCCCATTTTTGCCATATGACCAGCCAGCTCGGCGGCAGTGATGTAACCGCTACCATCCTTATCAAAAGACTGAAAAACTTCCATGAGTTGTTCCTACATGACCCATTCAACAAATTTTATGTTACCAATTTGAACAAATGCACTATATAAACAAATTACGGCCTAATACTCATTTTAGACATTGTGAGTGCACTCATAAGTCAATTTGGTCGGTATAAATTCGACCGAGTCAAATAGATCCTTGTAACAAAAACTTGAGTTGTTATTATGTTAAATGATACAAAAGCAAATGCACATGGTCATTGCTTAAGCATCAATTAAGGTGCTAAATAAAAATTTTAACAGGTAAATTTTGTTTGAAGAAATAACTTATTTTCTAGTTAAAATGGATCAATTTGAGTCAGCTGAACGTACAATTCTAGGACTAAATTGACTCGTGAGTGCATTTACTAAGACCAAAATGAGTCTTAGCTCAATCAATAAATCATACAAAAAGTCTATCTATAAATTACACATTGATAAACTGATAAGGAAAATGCTAGAGTCATAAACATATAGTTCACAAACTTCACAAACTTGCTTTTTGTAGATTTTAAATTAAAATATCTTTTATTATTTGAGTGCATCTTATTTCTAAAAAAGTGTTAAAAAAGTAAGTTTGTGAATTTTGTGAACTATTTGTTTGTGACTCTAGCATTACTCAACTGATAATTTTTTTGAACACTAATAACCCTATTATAAGATAGTATCTGCTCATATATTCTAAATCTATTAAAGCTCGTGGAGTTACCACCCACACCGGAGATTGAACGCATGACCTCTCAATTGAGAGAATCATAGCAATGTCACTCGACTACAAGATCCTTTGCATAAACTGATAAGTTAAATAGGATAAAATCAACTTTTATATTATATCTTGAGAGATATAGTGTTCACCACGACATATGCACATCCGTAAGTTACAAAAAAGTCATTTACACATTTTTTACATACTCAAAACATACACAATTTCAAAGTTGAAATATGGATGTTTAATAGTTGCACAATTGTAATTATGTTGAAATATATCGCTTATTTTCTCATTGAGGCACTTTAACATATAGTGTGTTAAGTGCAAACAAAATTTTATATATCTATCTTAATAAATACTCCCTCCGTACATCTCACAAACTCTTTCTTTTTTTGTTCCCTCAATCCATTCCTCTTTTCTATATTAAAAAACTATTTTACCCCTACCAATTCTTACCCTACATAACTATTACATCATACTTGTTCACTAATAAGCTACTAATCACATCTTACTTTTACACATCACCCACATCAAGGATAATTTTGGAAAGTCAACACAAAAATATTTTTTCTTTAAATCTCATAAAAATCCAAACGAAGGAGATAATAACTAAATACAACGTAAAATATATAAAAAAGAAAATATAAGTCAAGCACTAATGTTGTTGAAGAAGAGAATTGGAGAAACAATTTGCAACACAAGCATTAGAAAATTACAACTCAACTTTGAAGAACATTAGAAAGGTGGTAGGAGCATGACGATAGTTTGCCTATTAATTTGATGGAATTCATGGAGAAGAAAGTGTGGTTTACAAAAATAATTCTTTTATGGATAGGGAGAAATAGAGTAGTCCTCTTGTCTTAAAGACTCTTTATGAGGGTTGTTTCAAGAGAAAGAAATAAAAATAAGAGAGAAGATGAGAGAGAGAAAAGTTAATCTTGTGGATGAGCTCTGAACCAGTTTTTTTAGAGTAACTTTGTTAGTCAACAAGACTTGATCTGACAAGATGATACAGATGGTAGATTAGATTATTTAATTACTTATTTATTTATTAGTTAGTATTTATTATTTAATACTTAATGTAATATAATATTTATTAGGTGAGTAGAATTATAAGCTTCTTCGAGGGTTTCTTTTCGATTCTTTACCTCGGTGCATTTCTTGAACCAACATGGTAAGGGTTAGGGTTTCACTTTCTCTTTAAATTGAGATGTAGTCTTTTCATTATTATGAATGAAGATTAATATCAAACCCTAGTATCCTTCCTCTCTTTTCATGGAGTCTGGAAACACTCAAAGCTTCGCGGCCGCCACTACTAGAATATGTTGAATTAGCTGCCAATATTAGCGAGGGGCGCGTAGCCCTCGCAAATTTGCGTCGGCTTGCTCGACACAAGTAACTTTTTTATTTTTATATCGGTCTTAGCAACACTATGATATGCAAATATTTTTGTAAATTTATGTTTCAAATATTTTAAAAATAATTCCATAGGGTTATTTGACGTGCGTCATTGAAAAACTAACAAATTATTAGTGTCAGCTTGGCCGACGCAAATTTTACGTGGGCTTACTCTACACAAGTAATTTTTTAGTTTTTAAAAATCATTTGTGTTGGTTAGACCGACATAAAACTGAAAGCTAAAAAGTCCGCCCATTTAAATCTTATTATCGTCGGTTTGGCCGACATAAATGAATAAGACCCGTCAATTTAATTAATTCCAAATCCTAATTAACCCAATCCACTATTTAGTTTATACGGTGTATATAATTTCTTTCACTAAAAAAAGTTAGAACGCAAAGAAACCGTCTGCACCTCGCGTACTACTGGAAGCGCCGACAAGGACCAAGCCGATCGGAGACCCTCTACCATCTAGTGACGGAAATCACGCCGTTCGGAGATTATAAACATGTTCTACATACTATACTCTTTCAGTTTATCAATTAGGTTAAATGACATCTCTAATTTCCAAAGTATATTTATATGATTAGGTATTGATGAACAAGAAATCTGGACGCGGACGACCAGACGGAAAGGAAGACCGGACTCCTTTGCCGCTGGACGATCTCCGATTGCATAGCACCGGCGATTTCAACGAAACCTCCGTCGACGAAGCAGCTCCAAAACCTCCGGCTAACCCTAGTCTCTGCCGAACAGTCGCGATTGAGGGCTGATTCAGGTCATTTTTCATCATCCCTCTTTGTTTAATATACTAATTCTAGATTTTACTCTACCTTTGTTGTTCATTGCTAGATTAATTTCTTTTAATACATATATGTGTTCTTGTGTTATGGTTATGTTTTGTAAAATCATGAGTGGCTAAATATTTAGGTTTGGGTGTTGGATTGTTAAGTGTTGATGAATAGTATGCTTTGATTCTCATTAGGGATAATTTGTGTTAGAAGTTATATGCCTA